CCGGGGTGACAATCCCCAAAGGAAAAAAACCCCAAAAAAAAAAAAAAAAAAAAAAAAAAGCAACGGGTGAGACAGTGGTTCAGGAAAACCATTGCCCCTTTCCTGGAACAGTTATGAATAAACCATCCCTTACTTAGCCTGTCATTAAGCCAAGCCAAAAACGCCAGATATCACCTAAGTTCAGCATTGCCCTGCCAAAAGAGTAACTTTTTTTCTTTTTTTTTTTCTTTAATTTGATGCAGGGTGCATGAGCTCTCCAGGAACAAAAAAGAGAAAGTGAGAAATCACCACCCATGAGGATGGCCATGCAGCAATCTCTTCTCCATTCTCCTCTCAGGATTTTGGGCATGCACACACACACAACTGGCTAGTTTCTCAAAGCCATCAGGCCCAGGATTCCATCACCCCCCGCCCCCCCACCATGTGAGATCCAGCTAGCTGCCTTAACTGCTGTGCAACACAGTAGCTCTGGGCTGCCCTTCTAGCTTTCCTTGTGGGTACTAGTTCTTTCCTGCCTCTTGGAGGAAGGAAGAAAACTACACGCCCATCTCCCCTCACTGGCCTGTTCACCCTGTGGAGTAGTCTACTCTGGACGTTCCTTAATAAACCTTGCTTTCAAAAAAAAAAAAAAAGAAAAAGAAAGAAAGTTTGCATACTGCTATTTTTATTATTGTTTTTAATGGACCCACATAATGTACCAGGGCACTCCGAGAATGGGATTATGTATGACCTTACCTCAGGCCAAGGCGCTATGAATTTCACAAATAGGCACAGCTCTTTCACTAATTATTTTTAATAAAACAAAAAGATCAAAAATCGGCATCAGGAGAGGACAGAATACAGATGAGACTATTAAAAGTAACTGCTTCCAAATAGGGTGTGATAAAATACATCGTGAACTGTGGATGCATTTGTTCAACGAAGAAGCGGCCTGATCCCTTTAGCCCTCCGTGGATGCTGTGGGTGTTTCTCGGGGTAGAACAGGATACAAAGAAGTAGATGGCCAGGAATGCTGCACATTATCCCCCGATGATCTGCCACGGAGACTATTTTTAAAGATCTATTTGTCTCAGCAGGAGCGACAGCACTTAAGCAGTGGCCAGGTACCGGTGCCAGACAATCCTTCATGGGGAAAGGCTGCTGAACACAGCTGCCCTGTCGACAGCATTCTAACCAGTGGATGACATGGGACCTGTTCATGGCTGATTAGGTCGTTGGTTTAAGAAGCCATAAAACAATAGCAGAAGTTAGAACCTGGAAACCAAATGAAGTTAACTGCCAAATTACCACAGCCACCCAGCACTCAAGAATTAATCAGATTTCAAATTTACAACATCTATCGTAACTAATAATGCAGGCTCTGTCTTGTAAATTTTTTAGAGGTGGTTGCTCATTGAATTGTATTATCCCATTGAAGAACATTTTAAGGGAGGTGGTAATCCCACATTTATACAACTCTCTTTATGAACCTAGGAACTGTATTTCGTATCACAGGAATATGGAAAGTATATTACAGCTATATTACATAAAACCTCGTTCTAGACACAATATTATGTTAGGTAGCTCCTATAAGACACTAAGAGAAACAATAATACACAGTGATATATTTATATGTGTATGTATATATATATATATATTTGGGGGGATTGAGGTGCCAGATGAGAGGGGATGTGTCTTCCTTCCCTGTACAGAAAATAAAGGAGGGTGAATAAAGAGAGGAGGGAGTAAGAGAAGCAGAGTAAACATTGTAACTGTTAAAACTGATCTCCAGCGGAGTGGGAGAGGTGCTACAAAATTTACACTTCCCCCTGCCAGCCTGTTAATTGAAAGAATTGCACAGAGATGGCCTGAAGGTATCCCAGGATTCAAGCATTTCCCCAAGACTAAGGAAACATTCAATGCAGCTGCAGTTGTAACTGTCTTAAATGTTTGGAGATTTACGGTTGGGGAAGGGGTGGCACTTCGCAGTCACTGAAGAGTGTTGTATATCCACTTGAAGATGTAATAGTTCTTGCAGACTGAGATGTTCGTGAGGGTCTGGGCAAGTTTATTCCCACTGCCAGGAGTTCACAGCTCACTGTCTCTTCCATTGCTAGACAGTTCTGATGAATAAAACGTGTGTCCTTTTCCATGTAGTCATGACTTCAGTTAGTCACTGACCCTTGCCAAAATAGTTTGCCCCGGGTTCCTCCCTCCACCTCACCCCTGTTTATGTTCCAAACTGGATCACACAAAAGAGTTCTCTCAGACCGTTAGAAGATAACCATGTCTGACATCCACTGCTCGCCCTAGGTCCCACGTCAATGGCCTCAGTTTCAAAAGCCCTAAGTACAGATAGCATAGACTTCTCGTGAGACTTGACCCCCATAACAAGCGTGGATTGTGTTTTCCTGCTAAAACAAACTGAAAAAGTTTACACTCTGAAGAACTGTAGCCATCCTTCACCACCCCACTCTCAATCTCCATGTTGTTTTATTCTCACCTGTAGAAAAAGATTCCAGAGGCCTCTAGTCAATTCTGTGCTGCTTCCGGATGAGCAGCAAAGTTAAATGCCAAACTAAAGCTATTCAGCTTGGGTTTCACAAGCAATCTGTGTAAGAGAAACTGCTCACTCCACCTACACGGAGAAAAGTGCCTAGACTAATGAGTGTATGGTGGGGTTTGCTAAGGGCAGTCTCCCAACAGCAAGTTAAATGGCTATTAAGAAATTGTGCTTGCACTTCATTTGATCAAACCCAATTTCCTGGGAGCTCCAAATATCAAGTTCTCCCAAATATGGCTAAAATTCTGGCAATATTTGCAGGTGCCATTTCTGGAAATTAAACCCCAATATAGTTACCTACAAACTTAGTTTACAGGATAGCTACCCCATTTAAGTTTCTTTGAATTGAGCAAAAGGGGAGTATGTATCATTCTTTATCACCTAATCACCATGAAAGGTTTAGGACACTTAGAGGGAAAAGTAGACCTCTGTAGATATTGCTGAAATATTGGGTTCTCTGTTAATATATCAGAGTAACTTCGATGCTATTGTACCCATTTTTAAATGGAAAATATGATAGTACTCTGAAATGCAAAAATATATGTATCCTGTACTTCCAACCCAATACTCATATGATGATTCAAACTTCCAGCCAAGTCGATTTCTCAGGTCATCAGGCTCTGAGGAGCCCTATGGAGAAGCTGGAGTATTCCTAAATTTCAAATTTATTTTGAAATGCAAGTAAGTTCTTGGACCTCACTCAAGGAATCATACACTCCTTTCTTAGTGTATGCAACCACTGGTGGGTCTTCTCCCTGCCCTGGGCTGGGGACACCTGAAGCCAAGCACGCATCTCTGTGATTCCAAGAGGGGCTCAGGACACCCCCGAATCAGTCACCTGAGTTGCAAACATATGGACAGCTGAAGTGGGTCCTAAACTAGGGGTTATACAATCAACTTCCTCTCCTGTGCTGCCCAAGGTTCTCTCGCTTCTGGACAGCGAGAGACAGGAAATGTGGATGCATTTAAGTGTCCTGGACAAGATTCTTCCGA